ACAGAGACACATACAGAGAGAGAGGCGAGGCAAGCCTGTGTGTGAAAAAGAAAGTAGTTTGTGAGTTAAGTAGTGAATAAGAAAACAATTTTGAAGAAGATTAAGAAATCAATTGATGTCACAAATATTCTTTGTATATATATGTCACAGGCTATGAGCTTGATTCTCCTTAATGAACATGCCTCTTCCTCCTCTTCCTCAGTTCTTTCTGAGCGACCAGAGATAATGATGGTCATCGTTCGGTGTCACAGATCCATAGTTATAGTCAGAACTTACCACCTATTAGCACTCTTAGGGTGACATCAGAGTTGCCAACCCCGCCCAGTTGTTTGGTTCACTGTCATAGACTTCACTACCTCACAGCCACAATGATACACCAGAATTAGTCTCTTAGTCTGCCCCCTCACCTGGGACCAGTTTTCCTTGGGAGACCCTACCAGAGGCTCCCAGGTTCCCCCCCTCCACCACAGTAAGTCTCTTTATATAATACCACTAACTACTCTAACTAGATGGGCTAGTTACCTAGCTTGTGATACTATTGTGAATTCTGTTTACGTAGCTGATTGCTTTCGATTGGACAGTGATTTCTAGCAACAGATGAACTCATTAAACTTTTACTTACATTTCTTTGTTTGAGTGTTTCAACTTGATTTAGTTTTAAAGTAGTTAGTGAGAACTGAGGAGGGTTTTATGAATAGCTGCTACAGTCCAGAGTCCTGATCTTAAAGCTAGTCAGATCATAAAACTACTGGAACTGCATCAATTAATTTAATGAATGAAATTCATTGTATTTATTTATTTAATTACATAATTTTTTTGGTCAGTAGTTTCTATGTTTAATGATTCTGCAGATCTGCTGAAGAAAAGATTCAGTGTTCAAATCTAAAAACAGAAAATTAATGATGTGATTTATTGATATCTGAATCATCTCAACAGATTAACTTTATCACACACACACACACACAGGAGGAGGAGCCAATGGGCAGTGAGTGATGTCATGTGTCTCCATGGTAACTGCTGTGTTGTTAGTAACTAGTGTTTTGAACAGTCAGTCATGGAGGATCAGAAAGTTCAGACCTGCGACTTTTACAGAACGGATCCAAACCTGCCGCACAGGTTCAACAACCCGGACTGTTTCCATGGTTACAGGTACAGCACAGTACTACTACAGTACTTACAGTCTGATAGGGTTATGCTGCAATTAACTGGTTAGAAACTGTTTACTTCAGAAAGTCTGAAACATAAATACTGTTAGTACTTCTCTACTGTTACTACTGTAAGTACTCCTTATTTGAACAGTTTCTAATATTACTAACACCATACTACTACTGTGCTGTGTAACATTCAGTAATGTAATGACTGCTAGAGTATTAGTGTTTAACTGTTAGTAATACTACTGCTCATAATATCACCAATACTACATGTTTTATTGCATATACT